CGACTTGAAATCCTGGAGTTCCAATGCCAGTGCTCTCCAAATGGATGTAGACGCTGCCAAGCAGTGGTCGTTGGACTGGCACCTTGCTCTGAATGATGAAAAGTGCGTCCATATGTCGTTTGGAGGAGACTCAGCGAATGCCTTTGTTATGCTTGGTGAGAAAGGACCGGAAAACATCACGAGGATAGATGCCGAAAAGGATTTGAGCATGTGGGTCTCCTCTAACTTGTCCTTCTCACTGCGCCATGAGAAATCCGCCCAAAAGGCATTCGCCATTTTACGGATGGTCCGATGCACCTTCTCCCGTATTACTCGCATGGACTTCGAAACGCTCTATGGGGCCTACGTCAGAACGCTCCTGGAGTACGCCAACCAAGTTGTCTACTCAGGACGCACGAAAGACGTCACCCTCACTGAGCGTTTCCAGTGGGCGGCTACAAGAATGGTTGCCGGCCTCAAATCCGTGGACTACGAAACCTATCTCGCGATGCTTGATCTCTTCCCCCTGTAGTACCGTCGACTCCGAGGGGACCTAATTCTTACTTATGCCCCGTTTGAACAAATCTTGGCAAACAGGTTTTTACCGTTGACCCAGCAAACACCCGGCAAGGACAAAGTAAGAAAATTTTCAAGCTCAGAGCACACACATTCCTCAGACAAAATTTTTTCTCATTTCGGGTAGTAGCTGCGTGGAATGACCTTCCTCCGGCGGTTGTTCACGCTCCTTCTAGAACCCAGTTTAAAGCACTGTTAGACATTTATTTATGCGAATCCTCGCGCTGGCAAGCATACTGCCCCGCGCTGAGAACATAAAGAGCAGTGCTACACCATTTTTTCACTTGTGCCTTTCAGGTAAACGACAGCCACTGACCGACAAGAACATAAGCGACCCGGGAAACTTGGGCAAAACCTCGATCCTGTGTATCAATCTGTGAATCCGTGACCGGACAGTGGACAATGATGTACGGTCCTCAGATTTCTACGAGCAATGCCGATCAAGCCACAAAGCAGAAGCGGCGGGACGGCTTTCAGAGGATGAAGTATGTGTGGTGCTGGTGTCCTGAGTTTCCGGGACAATGATCCGGCAATTCATTCATCGTCGAATTTGAAAGATTCAGTTTTCGACATATCTCCATGCCGATTCAACCAGGAGTCTAAGATGCGATCAGAAAAGGGATCAAAAAATGAGCTCCTTGCATCGGGTCGCAGCTGTTTCTGCTGTAGAAACAGAATACTAGCATGAACTGGCTGCTTGTATGCGGACATTCATCTTCTGAATTATTTACACGATGGTGTGTTTTTCCTAAGTACTCTTGGTGTTGTTACAATAATTTCGGGTCTGATTGGATTGCATAGTTGTCGTGGGTTCCCGATTGTCAGTTACTGACTGTTGGCCCACACTTTTCTTCTGCGTTTGACGTGTTGCTGAACCCTTCATCGACCAGTCTCCCGACCAATCACCTGAGAGTTAGGTCTACTGGCCTAACTGCGAGCGGAAGCGCGTTTTTGGCCTAGGCCTTGATCTATCAGAAGTAGGCGTCGTGAAGTAAGGCGTCCGAACGTAATAGCTACCTATGACTCTGTCAGAACACGATTCTTCTGCATTGCCCATTTGGACAACTTTGCGTATAACATTGAACTGGTCGTGCTGAAGGTGTCTGTTTGAAACATGCTATTTGGCTACCAGTGGTGATCGAAACTAGCTGAAAATAAATGAGTATATTCTATCAAAATGTAGCAAAAACCAAAACCAGCTGTTGATTTGGGAAGCTGATGGAGACCGACCCTGCCTGACCAGTCGTAGTTACAAACACGGATTCGCGGGTTGGTACACAGGCCCAAGGTCTTCGCGCAAGCTTCTAGGGTCGTATTGTTCTCCCCGTTCAGAGATATCTAACGAGCTTGATTAGTACTGAGGAGAAGTTTTGTGAACTCAATTCTCTTCAGCACATTGGGGCCATGTGTCGTGCACCCAAAGGTCCTGGTGGCTACGGCACCCAGCTTGGTAAAACATTTCCACCTGACGTTTCGTGCGACGAAAGTGACCTTCCTCCTGTTCGAAAGGAAGAGATTTCCACAAAAATCTACAAATATAGTGACCACTTATCGCTCGGCAGTTACGTGTTAGCCTCACTAGCATACAGTGCAAGGGTATGGAACGCATGCTGAAGTGGACGGCTATAATCGGTTCACTACTAACAACTTGATATCCCTGCCTTATCTTAAAAAGTTCTTTCCTGACGAATATACTCGTTTTCATTGGTAGCCTAACGCAATCGATTTCGGAAGGCGTTTCGTCGACTTCCACACATTCCACCGCCCCACAAACTTGAAACCTACTGATTTCGAGGAGAAATTGTACACTGAATCAGGGCTTCCGGGTAGAACGTTCCGAGTGAAAGTAGGATCGACCAGCTATTCCTTCGCACTGGTCACTATCGGAGTTCCTTGAGGCCCCACTTTAAAACCATTGCTCTTTCTGATTTGCGTCGGTGACCTTCGCGATGCGCTCTCAAGTCCTTGCCTACTTTTGTGGACGACTTGAATCCCACTAGTTCTAACGCCAGTGTGTTTTAGATGAATATTAACAAAGCAACGTTCTCGAAAGTTTTGTCGTTTGGAGGAAATCCAGCAAACCTCCCGGTGAGAATGGACCAATAGATATAACAAAGGTACATACCAAAAAGAACAGGTATTTGGCTGTCTCCAAACATATTCTCATTTCGTCTCGAAAAATAGACCCAAAAGGCTCTCGTTGTTCCTTAGATGATTCGGTGCATTCCTTCTTATTACTCACACGGAATTCCGTGTAATATATGAATCTTATGACCTATTCAGGCCAATTTTTCAATACACCAGTCAAGTTGTCTCCTCAGGACGCAGTAGAACACAACTCTCATAGAGTTTGTCAAACAGACTGCTGCGAAGATTCTTGCTGGCTTAAATCCGTTGATTATGAGTCGCGTCCGGAGATCTTTGATCTCGTTTCCGTCGAACATCTTCGCCTCCGGGGAAACCTGGCATCTTGTTTGAATGGGATTCGGCTCATCATCATCATCGACGGCATGACATCAGTGTTCAACACCGATGCTTCACTGCCGTACAACCATGACTTATTCGAAAGCCTTATTATAAAGAAAAGAATAAAGGTGGATGGGGGAGGGACTTAAGGCTAGCTTAACACAATCATTCCGAGGTGCATACACCTCCAGACATTCACTCAGGCAATCTGGATAGAAACTGACAACAAGAACGCCACTGACATCGGTTGGCAGCCATATCTTGTAGTGTCTCCAACCAGGCACAGTGAGGATCACGCGGCCCCCATCCTGGAAGGCGAGTAGCACCGACAGCACCCAAGCGTTTCGTGATCTCCTTCATACTCCTCTACCA